AAATACTTGCAAGACATCAATGATGGGAAGATAAATCCCACATTCGCACGTATTTATACTATTTATTCTAATATCTCATCACATGCATGTTCTTGGTTCCTTGATACAGGATGTGGTTTTCACATTTGCTCTAATTTGCAGGGGCTAAGAAGAAGTAGGGATGTGGAGCATGGGAAGATGAACCTGATAGTGGGGAATTGGAAATTGTCGCCTATCACCAAGATCAGGATTTATTCTTTAGTGCTTAGTAGTGGGTTAGGATTAGACTTGAATGATTGTTGCTACTCTTTAGAAATGACGAAGAACATTATTTCTTTTTATGGTTTGTATAGACATGGCTTTAGATTTTCGTTTAACAATGAAATTCGTTCTATTAATGCTTTCTATAATGGTACTTTTTATTTTGAAGCATTGCATTGTAATGGTGTATATGAAAATGTGATGGTTGTAGACAACTTAGGAAATAATGTGTTGCTAATAGAATCTTCAAGATTAGAACTTCTATGTTCATTCGTTTGTCTTCATTCATAGATGTAATCCTCTTAACAGAATCCTCAAGATTAGAACTTCTTGTGCGAGTTCTCTTTAAACTCTCACTAAGATCAAAAATAGTTTCATGTAAATCAGTTAATTCAAAATCAAAACGAGAAGTAAGTATGTCAAGAGATTTAACAATAGAATGTACCTTATCAATTACCTTTTTGCATTCAGTGACATGCTCCTTCACTTTATTCGCAAAAACCATGTATCTGAAACATTTCCTTCATTTGTGAAGTACCTATGACTTTTTGAACTTGCGCTTTTGATCATGAAACATCTGTATCCTCTATTATTTCCATCCTTCACCATCAAGCAATCTCCTTGAGTTGTCCTATGGAATTTTTCATCCTCCGAATCAGTTGACCAAACTTCTACGTTCCCATCATCACTATTGTCCTCTATCACCACTAAAACTAGTTTGCTAGAACTCTTGCAAAGTTTTTCGATGTTCTTTACATAATAAGCTTCATCCTTATTCCTTTCTTTCTTCTCATTCAACTTTCTTAACATGCATTCTTTTGCGAAATGATTATTTCCATGATAATAATTACAATCAAAGCCTGAATCACCAAGAAGCTTGTTCTCATTGTTTTCATCATATCTTTGAAAGTTTTTAAGACTTTCATTTATGGATCTTTCTGAATTTTGACTTCCTTGCTTGTGATTGTTTCCAACAAATTCATTTATATTAATTTTGAAATGTGAAAAATCCATTTTAAAGAATTTATTTGGATTTGTCACGATCAGAACATTGTCTTATTTTGTGACTTCTTCATCTAAAATATTCGATTCCAAATTCTTACACAACTATTTTTTTTTCTTATTTTGCTTTGAATTTTCACTTTGTGTCAGGAAGGCCAAAGAACCTACTTTGCTTCTTTCAGTACTTCATCTTCATGATACTTCAATATACCAACAGTTTGTGCAAGAGAGTAATTCTTGTATTGTTCATGTGCTTTGAGAGTAGAAATAATCATCTTCCATTCTGATCTCATACTATTCATGAATGTGACATTTTGTTCCATGGATTCTTTCTTCAAATCATGTTTTATCACATGACTGGAAAGATGCTTAAATCGATTAATAGTTTGTATAATTGTTTCGTCAGAATTTTGCTCAAAAGATCAATATTCAGATAGAAGTGAGGTTTGTAGAGAATGAATGAGATCAACATCTCCAGAATATAATTCTTTTAATCTAAATTATATCTTATTTGCATATTTAAGAGAGCTAACCAGAAAAGTATCCGGAGTAAGATCAATATCTCCATAATATCAATTTGATTATCTTCAACAATGATAGTTTTATAATCATCTTGAGTTAAAATTTCCTGCTTCTTCTTAGTATAATTGTGCGTTCCGATTTTAATTGCTTGCCAGATTCTAGATCCATAAGTTTCAATCCCTCGAACATAATCTTCAAAGTGAAGATGCCAAACTTTATAGTCTTCAAGAAATAAAACTAGAATTCACGTTGTGGAACTGATACTACTTGGAAGGTTGAATATGACAAAGCGTGAATCATCTTTTGATATTTTGAATGAAATTTGATGTCAATGAACTTGAAGAAGAGTAGATCAAATGACTTAAACAAGTAATTAAAGATCAATTTGCAAAGGATTTGCAAAATACAGAATAAATCCGAAATTCAATGAACAGATCTGGAAAAATACAATGAACAAGATGAAAACGATGAACATGATGAATAGATCTGAAAAAGTTCAATTGATCTCCCGCTTTGATACCAATTGAAGGAACATTTAGATTCATGAGTCAAACCAGGATAAGATTCATAAGAACACACAATGTAAATAAGATTTCAATTTCATTAATGAGTAAGTATAGAGCAATCTGATACAATGTAAGGAACTATTCTATCAAGAAAACTCTTACCCATGTTTCTATATAATATTCCTATATATATATATATATATATATATATATATATATATATATATATATATATATATATATATATATAAACACACACACACACCCACACAAACACACACACATCACATGAATAAAAGAATGGCATCACAAGTCAACAACTAAGCTGCAAACTTAAGGAAACAAAATGTGCTATATCGTAACATAACCAACACAAAGTAAACACATTACAAACAAACTATTACAAGATGACACAAAAAAGCTACGAACTCTACATGAAGTTCAAGTTATTTAATTCATATTCTACCATGGAAGACTACTTAGAGTTTTAAAAGAGGAAAGAGGAGGCACCTTTTTAACGTTAGATGACTACCTTCTTGCTCTTGGTTTATTCCTCCTTAGATTGACTTCGATTGATCATGAAAAAACCATTCAAAATTGCCCTAAAACCTGTCCAAAAAAAGCGGAAATGATTTGGGAATGAAATAACAGACTTATGAAGATTTTAACCATGTTTTATGGTACTCGAAGTCAAAATACAAGCATAAATGGCCGTGTTTCTCTGTTTACCAAATCATGTAACTTGAGTTTTTCCTCCTCCAACATTATATTGGAGTGTAGTACTGCTTTATTTTAATAATATTTGGTAAATATATATAACGTAACTCTTATAATGAAATAAGTATAAGGATATACTTATTATATTTCCAAGACACTATCATTTCACTAGTTGGTTCACCCTTGCACGTATTTAGACCAAATACATATTATAACAAGAAGTTTGAGCTTTTTAGGGTTATTACAATGAGCCTCCCATTGACAGTGCTCCAAAATAGGAAGATGTAACCATTAAGAAGTGTAGGTATAAAGATTTTAGCAGGTGCACACTAATTATCTATAAAAGCTACATGGATTCGACAACAATACACACTTAGACTATAGAAATATAGATAACTTTCTACATATAAAGATGACTGGATGGTTAAAAGGAAAATTATGCCATCATAGTGGTTGCTAAGCTTTTGATTGAGGTGAGTTTACCGGGATCATATGTATATTATGAGTTTTTTAATGATATTTATATGCCTTAACATGCTATGTGTTTTTCTATAGTACTAATTACGTATTTCATACAAAGTGGTTTTAAAAAAAGGCTTTCCTCACAGGTTAAAATGTTGGTAAATATGATTTATGATTAGATGTTGATAAGTTGTTTTGAGAAAGGTTTGCTTTATAATAAAAAATGATACTTTATGACGATATGATGTTTTATGATTCTTTAGGATGAATAAATCATTTATGATTAAAGTGTTGAAGTGGAGTTAGGAATAAAAATGTGCAAACATTCTGAGATGGTTATGCATGTGAGTGCCTCATTATATCCATATGAGATTGACCATTATGATGTATGATGACAGTGAACGATTTATAGATAATTCTCACTATGCACAAGTGGGCTACCTAACCCTTGTATGGTGTTCATGTGATGGTAATGATACACCTTGCTTATGCGATTCTTTCTTCATAATTAACAACTCTCTTCATCTCTCTATTTCTTTCTCTTTGTTTTTTCTCCCCCTCTCTCAGACAAACACATACATACAAATACTCTCTCTCTCTCTCTCTCTCTCTCTCTCTCTCTCTTTCTCTCTCTCTCTTATACAAGGAAAATTTCACGATGCATCATATTTCCAAAATACTTCAAATGTAATTTGCATTACAATTGGACATCTTTGATCATTCCTTAGTTCTGAGTTAGTGGTGCCAATAACTATCTACAAGACTACCAATAGGTATATTTTTCTAATATAAATCATACTTTCATTATTTATCTTACATAAATGTGTTTATAAAGTTTTCTTACTAAGGCATTGTACTTATTTCTATAAGGATTACATTTTTATAATCAAGTGTTTTTTTTGTTATACAAAGAAATAAAAATGCTTAATTAAATAAATAATCATTGAAAGTAAAATGCTACTCCTTGCATTAAACTTATAAAAGAATGAATACACATGGACAAAGGCACATTCATGCTTCTACTTGCTGTAAATCAGCTATAACATCCTCGTAAGCATCAAGATGATTTTGTAGGCAATGGTGAAACTTCAACATTTGATTTGGGAGGGCTGAAATATATTATGTATAAAATTGGTAAGAAGAGGGAACACATTCTAAATTGTATATTTTTGCACCTAATATATATAAAATCAAAGTTTAGGGACAGTTTCGAACCAAACAATCCGGGAGAGGGGGGGGGGGGGTTTCGCCCTAATAAAGCTCTGCCAATGCTTGTAGGGTGTCATGGTGGAATTTTTTGAGTTTGATCTATTTTTCAAAAGGCTTTAGGGTTTATTTTTGTATCCATATGTCATGTACATAATTACTTGCATGAACATGTTTGTTTTATATATATATATATATATATATATATATATATATGTATATATGAAATGGCAAATAATCATAAAAAGAAACCCAAAACAGCAGCAAGTAGTTGAGCAAGGGAGTAATAAAACAGATCAGAGAGGAAAAGCAAACAATACTACAACATTTTGCTCACGATTTAGACTAAAAAAAGGAAAATGGATAGCAACTCCATTCCATCCAACTTTCCATTCCATTCCTCCTGTGTTTGTTCCATTCAAAAGTTTGAGCTATAATGGAGTCTGTAGTCTTGGTAGGGTTTACTCCAATCTTTTTAAAAATTATATCATTCCTGGTCAGCCATATGCTCCAAATGGTAGAGTATACTATCATGCTCAACAGATGCCTTTTCTTGGGATAATTCCCCCATGTTTCAGCAAAATCAATGAGGTCTCTTACATTCCCAAATGGCCTATATTGAATCCCACACCACCGGAAAATCCAATCGCGAATTGTATTTGAGAATTCACAGCCAATCAGTAAATGGTTAGTGGATTCATCACAGGTACCATACAATGAACAAGTCGTGTTTTGGACCATTATACCCCTCTGAGCTAATGCATCAGCTACTGGAATTCTTTCCATAGCAGCCCTCCATATAAAGCATTTGACTTGTAAAGGTAGGCTTTTTGACCAGCAAATCAAAGGTCCTTTGTATTGGTTGATTTTCAAGTCCACCATCCGCCGTAGACTGTTCACAGTGTAGATACCTTTTGAATTGGGTTTGAAACGGAAACCAACTTTGAGTGATTGACTGAGATTAACTGATCAAACCAACTTGTGAAACTCATGTAACTCTAGAAGAGAGACAACATCAAAAGAGGTGGTTCTCCATTTCCATGCAAACCCGGAACTGCATAATCTATCCATCAGGGAGCATCTTTTAACTAACTGAAGATTGTAGAGTAATGCAAATCTGGCCTGCAGAGGGGTATCTCCGCACCATATGCCTTTCCATAAAATAATTTTGATATCCGTACCTGGCACTAGGGAGAAAAAACCATTTGGGTCGATATTATAACTCAAAAGACTCATTATTGCTTTTGAAATATTACTCCAGACTCCAGTTGCGTTTTTCTTAGTAAGGTAATAGGCTGGGTGCTTGTCGAGATTGTAAATGCTGTTTATGACCTCTGCCCATATATATCCAGTTTCGTTCTTAAGTCTCCACCACTACTTGGTGAGTAGTGCGATATTTTGAGCTTTCAGTGTACCAACCCCTAGTCCACCGTTATTTTTTCCTGCTGTCACCTTATTCCAGCCTATCCAGTGTAGTTTTCTTTTTTCATCTGTACTACCCAACAAAAATCTTCTTCTAAGCATTTCCAATTCATCCAAGACTCCTTGTGGTGCTATGAATAAAGATAGATAATATGTAGGCAGACTTCCCAGCACCGACTTAATTAGAGTCAGCCTGCCTCCAAATGATAAGGAATTTGCTTTCCAGTTTGATAGTTTTGTCTGAAACTTGTTTATTACTGGTTTCCAATTTTTTTTAATAGCATGTTGGCTCCCACTGGCGCCCCAAGATAAGTGAATGGAAAAACACTTTTTTGACATCCTAGAACTTGCGCCATGGTTTGTATTTCATACTCGGGAACACAGATACCAAACAAGTGAGATTTTTGGAAATTGACCTTAAGCCCTGACGAGATCTGAAAACATTTGAAAATCCTAGACATGTTTTTAATGCTTCTGGGATCCCAGAATCCTGAGAAAATGGCATCATCTGCATAAAAAAGATGTGAGACTGTTGGCCCGTTATTCGGAAGCTTCACCCCTTGAATAAGCAATCTGTCAACATCACCTTGAATTGTCGTATGAAGCCCTTCCATGGAGATTAGGAAGAGAAAAGGCGAGAGGGGGTCACCCTGCCTCACTCCCCTAGTGATTTGGAATTCAACCGTGGGAGTCCCATTTACTAAAACGGATGCTCTTGCTGATGATAAGCACCCAAGGATCCATTTTTTCCATTTATTCCCAAATGCCATTTGTTCCATCACTGAATCCAGGTAGCTCCAGTTTATTGTATCAAACGCTTTCTCGAAGTCGACTTTGAAGAGGAAGATTGACAGTTTGGTTTGTTTTGCCCAATTATAAATTTCATTCATAGCGAGTGGGTTGTCAAGTATATTCCTACCACATATAAATGCCGATTGCACTTCATCAACGACCGATCCTATAAACCCTTTTAAACGATTTTCTAAGACTTTAGCAACGATCTTATAAATACACCCTATAAGACTGATAGGTTTATAGTCTGTAAGCGATATCGGGTCTTTCACCTTCGGGACCAAAGTTATAAACGATGAATTGCACCCCTTCGAGAATGAGCCGGTTTCTTCAAAATGATGGATGTAACGGATAATATCATCTTTCATGCAATCCCATTTCTCCTTAATGAATTTGAACGTATACCCGTCAGGCCCAGGAGCTTTCTCAGCACCACAACCCCAAATGGCAGCTTTGATTTCTTCAATTAAGAAAGGGGATTCTATAAGGGAACGTTGAGAAGGAAGTAGTTTTTTAAAGAGTGGGCTGATCAACTTAGGCATGATAGGAAATGGTTCATGGAATTTGGCGCTGTAATAATCAAATACTTCCTTCTTAATTTCTTATGGGTCAGAGGACCATGAGCCGTTTATATTGATGCCGTGTATACTTCTTTTGCTATAATTGATCTTTAGCATTCCATGAAAGAATCGAGTGTTCTCGTCCCCATCACAAAGCCACTTAATCTTGGCCTTTTGCTTTAGATCCAACTTTTTCGCCTGTTCTAGTAATCTGATCCGAGTCTTTGCATCTCTTTTAAAGTCAATTTCCGATACCGATAAAGGACGAGATTCAGCTTCAAGGTCAAGAAACTCCACATGGTCTCTTAACTTTTTTAGGTCGCCTGTCTCCTTTATATCTTTCCCTATCCTCCAAGCCTTGAGCTTATCCTTAAGGTGTCGGAGTTTATGTAGCAGGTAACTGTCTGGGTTCCTATAACCTTGAAAGGTGTTCCAAGCAGAATCAAAAACCACATTGAAGTCTTTATTGCTTAGCCAGGAATTAAAAAATCGAAATGGTGGAGGGCCAAAGTCGGCATTGGAAGGTTTTAATAGAATCGGAGAGTGATCAGAATGCTCACGTGGGAGAGCAATCGACATGGATAAAGGTTGTATCTTGATGAAGTTTTGGCATACTAGGAAACGGTCTAATTTGCTCAGTTTGAGACCGTCATCCCGCATATAAGTGAAGTTTCTACCACCAAGTTTGAATTCATGAAGTCCAACCTTCGAAATGAAGGAATTGAAGTCAGAGGCAGTGTAGTGATAGAAAGTGGAGTCGAGCCTTTCGCTATTATACCTCACAGCGTTAAAATCCCCACAAAATACCCAGTTTCCCACCTGATTCCTTTTAAGCTCTAATAGTTCATCCCATAAAGAGCGTTTATCGATTACGGATTGAGGCCCATAAACGTTAACGATCGTAGTGATTCCAGGGAACCCAATCCAAACCCCAGAGGAAGCAATGAAGTTCTTGGATTGGACCGTGTGAGATTTTCGAAATATTAAAGGGTCCCAAATGCTTATAATACCTCCAGACCCTCCCGTTTGATTTACATGATCACATTCGAATTTTGCAGACCCCCAACAACTATTCACATCAATTGCATTAAAGTATGATACCCTTGATTCCTGAAGACAGATGAAGTCAACCTTTTGAGAAAGTTTTAGTTTGCGTACCCAATCTACTTTGTGCGATTCCCCAATCCCCCTGATGTTTAAGGTCATAATATTCATTGGATGACCGTTGGTTTCCATCACCCGCGATTCCTCTTCGTACGAGATCGTCGTCTCTGTCGATTTGAAATCCAACTTCGTTTCCAATTCTAATGGTGCTGTTAATTTCATTGGTTGAGGAATAATCATCGGAGGAAGAGTTACAGCCTGAGAGGTCAGAATTCGAGATGGTTTTGTTTAAATCCAATGAATGGATCGAAGAGCTTGATAACGACATGACTGGAATAGCAGCAGCCAGCAGAGGCTGGCAGCTGCCGATCAAGTAAAGGGGGATCGAAAATTCTTCGAGGAGTGATTGACGAAGCAAAAGCTCTCTCGATTTTCCTTCTTTTACCCATAGAATCACCGATTTCAAAATCCAAGCGAGAGTCTTGCTGATGTGTGTTTGGAATATTGGGCGTGGACAATACGAGGAGAGTGGGCTCAATAAGACTGGGTCCATGTGATGATATTTGGGCTTCTGGTGGGTTTTTTGAGTTTGGATCTGGTGATTGCCCCATATCCGAATGAGAAGAAACTGGATGATCTTTTATTCCGGTGTTATCGGGAATCCCCGCCTCGTAATTAAAGGTCTAATCCCGAGGAGTCGCTACTTCATCCACAATTAATGTCGCATCCAAAGTTCCAATGTTTCCCGGAACTTGCTCTGCCTCCGGCATCAATCCCCTGTTGATGGTTAAGACTTCGTCAAGATTCATATTATCCGGAACAACCTGCTGCTTTAATTCACCCTCCTCTAACTCTTATGTTTGCTTCTTATCCCAGGTGTCCGATATCCCATCCTCATCAGACTCAGTGATTGAATTGGCATCATCATCATTGATTCCGACATTCTTAAATACTTCCTCTTCCTCATCTGAATCATAATCCATTTGTGGTGTTGCAGAGTTGTGAAAGAAAGGGTGCCAATTGTAATCATACTCGACAACACCCACTGTATATGATTTATTTTTGGACTTACAAACCGCAGTGCTATTAACCCGGTCTAGTTTGGAGGTAAGGATGCATGCAGTTCCATACGAGAGATCCAGGTTATGCCAAATTTGCCCATCCACTTATAGAGGTTTCCCAAAGATACTGGCAATGGTTGTAAAGTTCTCCTTAGAACGAAGAGCAATTGGGACACCAGTGATCTAGACCCATGCTAGTCTTTCTAAATTTGGTTCCTCATAAACACCCATTCTCAACCATTTGAACCAACGGTTCCAAATGTGTTTTTCCTTTAGAAACTTCGCCGCATCAATTTGGATGTTGAAGCGGATAACCACTCTCAATCCGCCTATGTAGAATAGATCCTTTGAGTAGTTACCTTTAGCCTGTATGAGTTTCGGCAACTCCATAAGAAGATGGAGGTTTGTTACTTCTCCCAACAGAGCGTAGTCGTTCCAAGCAGCCATGGTCGGGACATGCTTGAGGGCCACAATGATAGGTGCTTGAGTATCAGTATGTAACTTAGAACCCACCACCTCTGCGTAGGATCTGCCATTCTGGTTAACTACCGGAGCATATTGTCTTGTCTTAAACGAGGTGGGTTGGGAATGAACCCCGTGATGCTTACTTCTTTCTCTCGGAGCCTCTGACTTCGCTTTGTCTTGCTTTCCATATTTAGAGATGTTCACCTTGAGGATACTGTGCCCACATTTCACCTTTTGCATGGATCTTTCCAGTTCACCAATGTTCTTCACCCCTTCAAATTTGACGAATCCAAAATACGTGCCCCCTTTGTCTTTCCTTCCTGGAATGTAGACGTCTACTATTTTCCCATTACTCTAAATGCTCTGTAATTAGTTTTTGGTTGAAACATTATATTTTGATATAATTTTTAGTTTTTGACAAAACGCTATAGTTTAAACAAAAAGTTTCGTTTGGTAGTATGATCATTTAACTTTTAGTTTAAACAAAACGCTCTAAATCTAAAAGGTACTTCATGTAGTGTTTAAAAAAAACGATACTGAGCATTTAAAATCAATTTTCATAATTACCCTTAAAAATATATTTATATATTTATTTATTTTTTATTAATTGTCCGTTTATGTAATTTTATATATTTCAAAAGCTCCAGCTAGTTTTGCCAAACACTCATATAATAAATAAAAGTTATAACTTCCCACTACTCGCTACCCGCTACACGTTACATGCTATCCATTACCAACTACCTTCTTCCAGCTAACAGCTACTTTTACCGAACACACCTAAGAAAATATGTTCATATTTTTTCCATTTAATAATTTTAGGGTCCCCTCAGCACCAGGTGGGGGTCCATCCCCTAGTTACCGTACGGTTGGTTGATTTTTGTTTTTTAGAATTTCTCTGCAAACACACCAACTGAATTACCCATGTAACCCATACCAAAGCCTAGTTTGGAGATCTGTTGCAAAATATTAAAAATCTATTATAGTTGATATTTAGGAGTTGATATTTAGGAGTTTAAACCATGTGATTTTATAATCTTAACCACTGTGTTCCAATCCCTAGGAAAAAAATTATACAATAATTATTGTAAAGAAAACTAATTACCTTTCCTCGAAATAAGAACAAAGAAATATGAGTCAACTTAGATCGGCTATTCTTGTATCATTGACTATAACATGTAAATAACTACAAAACATACATCTATAACCCAAAAAAAGAAAACTAATTAGACATATTCCGCTATGTTCGATTTAAACTTAGATCTTGAAAAAGCCAATGTGGTCTCTTTTTATCTTCATTGTACAATGTACTTGAATTCAGTACATTCGTTTTCATCTTGGTCTTAGAGTCGCTTCCTCCCGTTTGATGCAGACGGTTTTCTGATAATCTCTTACTTGCGCTAGGCCCGATACTTAACGTCAGTTCTACATCGTTAGGCCCTGTTTTGTCATCGTGAATGCCACTACTATCTCCACATGACGTATCTTCCATGGCAGATCTTGAAAGATCAAACCCTACTCTTTTATCAAGACTGTTAATATCCAAAGTAGCCCGTTGGCATTCAGGATTTCTTCTAATATCGTTTCTGAAGGTTCCCATCAGACTCTTTTGAACGTTATATAATCGATGAAGCTCCCGTACCTATAAACCAATTTTCATAACAATAATATTAGTTAGCAAGAACACAGAATCATGATAAAATAAAAAAAGTATCACAAACCTGATGTCTAAAAGTATCTTCATGCTTCAACATTGTCTGTTTTATGAATTCTAGATGGTGGTTTTCGAGCATCTTATTTTTTCAATCCAAAGCTAATGATACACAATAAGGGTAGTTGGGTGACTCTCTGATGATAACGAAACCTGTTATTCCATAAAGCGATCATCCAATGCCGAGAAATATGAGTTTGTTGCTAGTAGAAATATGGGCATGCTCTAGTTTTGATCCCATGCCTACAAGAGCCATGGAGCATTTATATCCAAATATGGTACAAAAAGCCATAGGAAAATAAACCACCAAAACAGAATAAAGTCGAACTAGTGCCCTCACATCCACAAATTGCCAATTCATAATAGTAGTTTAATTTCTCACATTTTACTTGGCGTTTTTCATCTTAACCTTATTTTGATATGCATTATAAGCTTGTTTTACAACCTAGTTATGCATAATGGTATAGGTTTATTAATTGTAACGTACGTCCAAAATGATATAGATATACAGCACTAGTGAGGAAGTGGAGACAATGGATAGTTGAACCCAAGTCATAAATCTTTGATGACGAAAAGTCAAAATTCAACCACCATGGATGATTTGAGTCGTAACTAATACCAACAAAGATCTAAAAGTCAAACTAGATTGCAAATGCAGTATCGAAATTTGCATATAATCGAAACCTCTTAGGCCTTTGCCAAAAGTAAATTGATAGTTGGCCCTAGCCATATCTTTGGTCGGGGACTTCTTGAGATCATGAAAATATGTCATCAAGCACTTATTAAACTGGTGTAGTAATCCGATTTCAAAAGTGTATATTTAATAGAATTTTTCTGTTAAAAAGCACTTAATAAATGTAAGTTCTACTGTTTGACTATATCCCGTAAAACTTGTTTTATTTTACCTTTTTTCACTGTTGAAATGGATAGATTCATATTAAAATACAGTCTTTATAGTAGTATATTATTCTGGATCTGAGATCCAAGATTCATACTAGAACTACGACAATTAAATAAAAGTAAGAAGTTAAGCTTTTCATAGAACTGATTCGAAGAGAAGAAAAATGAACTCCGGTTCTACATGTCAATACCAGAAACAATGAACAGCAAATCCTTGATTTCTGAAATTGTAAATATATGCATCCACATTATGAGGAGAACAAACAAAACCAAAATATGGATACATATCAAATTATCAATAGCATAAAGCGACTCGTACTTCATGCAACCAAAGATTCAACAAAAATGTCTTAACGTATTCACCTTGAAAAACGTCATTATTTGAGAAGAAAACGCATGTACCTGGTAAATGAACGCCACCACACAATTGCCTATAAACTTTACAAAGAACGGCTGATTTCAGTGGCCAGAAAAAACGTATAGAAGAGCCTATCGGCAAGCAAACCCAAGTGTCGATTTGACCAAATATATCTCCAAAGAAAAAGGGGTAAAAGGATGAGATTTGTTTGAGAAAACGACAATGCTTTTAGGATGAATTATGGGTGTGTTAATAATTCAAGATGGACAGGCTGTGAAAGAGAGAGGGAGAGAGAGAAAGAGCTGGTGCAAGCAGTATGTTACATGCATAATATATTCTGTTTAAGGTTGTATTTTAATGAACCATGTGTTTTGAATCTTGGGTAGGGACCTTATAAGGGAAAGAAGCAAGGACGATGCTGCCGGTTGTGATTAAAATATATGTAACTTTGTATCACAAGATAGCCGGAAGATTGGGATGCAAAAATTTGAAAACTTGGGTCCTTGGTGTAGGGCCTGCATGTAAACAATATATTCCAGACAACACCTAAATGTAAATCAGGGATGTTGAAAGCAAGGCTGCAAAAACCAAATGTATATTCTATTACCACAACAAATAGAAATATTTATCCTTAAAATATTATATTTCTCCATAATCATTTTAAATATATATATTTTTTCTTTTCAATTACATAAATGTGAAATTTTGTAAAACGTTGTTGATAACATCTATTTTATACATGTATTCGATGCGTTATCATATTATTTTGAGTTGTATTTTGTTGTTATTTAAAACAAAAAGTGCTTAATATGCTTTGCATAATTGTTAGTAAAAATATAATGTCATGTTGGAACAAAAGTAAGCAAATTGGCTGGAAATGGAGCTCGAATACAAAAGCTGGAAAATGTGTTGAATAGTAGGCGACACACTTAAGCTTCATATGCGACGCACTTCCATCAAGTTTACTTGTAGTTACGTGAAAAACCACTAAGTCGCGACATGTCTGTACGCAACACGGTTGCTGCGGAAAATCTATTAATATGTATTAACTTTAACCTAATCACGAATAATTATCATAGTTTCATCATTAGATCACATTAGTCAACAAGTAACCTCAGAACAACCGTTTCGAGAGTTTGGAAGGCGGCCGGATGGCCATTAAGTTAATATGGAGCAGAGATATGAGGGATCAAAGATCAGAAACGCTTGAGAATTCATAGAGTTTGCTTTATTCACCATATTTGGCGTTCACTGTGATTTTCGTTATGTTTTAATTTTTGATTTGGGGTCTTAAAATGAATCTTTGAGATATTGGTTTGATTACTATGTGGATATAGATAGTTATTTAATTTATTGGCGAGTTAATGTAGTTAGAGGACCAATCTACTATGTTTGCTTGAATCATTCTTGTTTTATGGCATTAAAATTGATGTAAGTAATGATGGACTAAATCCTAGAGTTGGGTTAATAAACAATGAACATGAATGTGTGTGCTTGCATTAGATGAACATTAGTACATGAATTAATTCTAATGTCCATTAATATTAATAAAGATCAAATATTGCATAATACGAACTTAAGATTGAGAAGTTGGATAGTTAATTGCATGACCATTATGTTAATTGTCTTTATGATCCATAGGTTGAAATTTGACCAAAAGGCTAAACAATTTTATGGATCAGTGAAAAATCAACATATGTCAAATACACATAGTAATCAACCATAGTTTTGAGGTGTGGTCTAATTTGAGTCTAAGTAATTAATATGATTTGTTTCTATTCAATTTATCTTTAGTGATAATTTTGACTTTATTTGAGTTTAGTATTCGATTACCCCTTTTTTTGTGTGTTTTGTTTAATCGATAATCAAACATCCAAAATTAACTGAACTCGTGACGCGTCCCAAAGCCATGTGTGACGCATCTCAAAAACAACGATATATATATATATATATATATATATATATATATATATATATATATATATATATATATATGACTAAATTTGGTCAATGCTTTTTATCGTTAGGTTGTCCAAATTCGTGATACGTAGTACAGCACCACATATCATGATGAGTAAGCTGAAAACCAAACTCTTGTTATTTTTGTAACTGTTTAGTTTACTTTTCCTCTACTTCTAGGAAATATGGCACCTAGGATTCAAAGAAAACAAGTGTAGATCCCATATAATTGTTCGGCACATACATACCTATAGTTTGAAAATACATTATCAGTAGGTGGCAAGAACAACTACATTACTAGGATGATTAGATTGTTGTCTAAACGATTCAATATTTCACAAGCATTGAGATGAGACTTTGCTGAAGAGCTTGGTTTGATAGATCAATTGACGTAATATATAACATGAGTACTTCATGATGATGTTGGCATGCATTTATTAACATGTCATGACACCTTGGATTCAGAGTAAGCAAGTCAGTGTCATGCATTTAATCCTTTCCAAATTTTGGGTAAACATGAAACCATTAAACATGTCTTACTATAGAATGATTCTGCAAAATCTGTCCTTAAGCATTATAGATAACCAAGAGTTTATGTCTTCTATAACGAAGATATTTTAACCTTCCATAACATGGGTACTAACCCTTCTAACTACCCGAAACTCTCATGTCAATGCATTCTCTCATATCAGACAAGTAGGATGCTAAAACCAAACATCAATTTAATAATGACATTTTAATAAAAAAATATGTCCAAAACAAACATTTCATGCAAAGCACAAGCATACCATAAATGCCAGATAGAAATTAAGTTTCTAATATTGAATGGTCAACCAATTTGAATGGTCAAAGAACACATATGCATGCATAAGCGAATCAATAATCATCACATGATCTAATATGGAATCTCAAAGTAACTAGTTAAAGTTAGGTTAGCAAGGCCTCATGAAACATCCTTAGAACGAATGAATCATAATAAGGATCAATAAAAATGAACAATTAACTCAATTAAATCATATGTCAACTATAGCACAACTCCTTTTAGCTTAAGTGCAACCTAACCATCAACTTAGGGTTTCAAATTCTCACATTCCATAATTCAAGATAAAATGAACTATTCTATGGGTTAAATAGTGATACCTTGATATTTTATAGTATTATAAAAGCATTAGAACTCATTCAAATCATAAAGGAATCATCAAATTCTAGTTTATTAAGGCTAGGGTTGGTAAACACCAAAAATCTCTATCAAATTGCAATTACAAAATTATAGAAGGAGTTGATGTTGAAGTGATGTTCTAGAGATGTGAACGTAACTAAAGCTACATTGATTCAATAAGAATAAAAATGAAAAAAAAGTTTTGATGTAGATCTAAACCCTAGACATATAGATAGCTACAAAATTCTAGAGTTGTAAAGATGATGAGGAACAATGGTTTGATTTTCAATACTTCAATGACAAGCTTGAGGTCTCTGACATAAAAAGGAAAATATAAAATACTAACATTTCAAATGGATTAACAGATTTTGAATTAAGGAGGGAAGAACAAGCTCTCATATTCAGCTCAAACTATCAAAGATGGCAAAAATGGTCCATTTAGGCTTAGCTTTCTTCTTTTTTGACCACCATTTGAAATGGAAATAACTAACAACTCTATAATTTCTATAACTAACAATTCTCGATCCATTTTATGACATTTCAACTCCTCTTTGGCCTCTTGGGTTAAATCTTAATAGTTCATAATTTGGTAAGATTAGTCCTTCTAATCATAATTTCTTAAATTTGACACAAATAGGCTTCTAATGATTTCCTATATATAGGGAAAAGTAAATATGTGGTTGTCATGGATGTAATATTAGGTATAAAACATCAAAATTGACTTCATTTTGATTAAAAACACATTTTTTTTCTCATTGTTAGCTTCTTTCTATAGCTTTTGGGCTTATATTATTTTGATTTCATAATTTATCCCCAACATTTATGTATTTCTAATGTGTTTTTTTATATTAGACCTCTAGTAGGCTTCATAATTTTTGACACCTACCATATACGTACTTGCATGATTCTTTTTTATGTGTTATGGGAAGAAATTTATTGAGTTTTTAATGAACGATTTTAATCTTTCATTATAGTTTTCTATATTAAATTTAAATATGATGACTTATAAGTAGTTGATAATGTATTCTTATACATAATTTGTGGTGCAAAATTAAATATTTAAAACTCCATAAAAATATGTACATAGCCTATCATCTAGTCTAACTAGGGATACAAGAAAGATGGTAGAGAGATTTGATTGTATTTTGCTAAAATTATGTAGTTTTTGATGGTTTTATACCTAATATTAGGTACATGACAATCACATATTCTCCAAACCTATATATATATATATATATATATATATATATATATATATATATATATATATATATATATATAGCAGTTTTAGGTGTGGCGTATAAGAATAAAGTTCACTACTTGGTTGCACTAAAAGATAGTACATGAAAGCATGATCAAATCTACAAGGACACAACATAAAGGTTAATGCGTTTTTATGTAAGACACATACTAGTCAAAATACGAAAAATATAACATAGTGTGTTTTTGTTTAAATGTTAGATAAACTAAATTACAGTAAATATAATTGCATAATAATAAACTTAAAAGATCAATATTAAAAGATGTTTTGGTTCTATTGGGACTCTGATAATTTTGAAATTAATCCACATATGGTTTTTTAGTAGGCCTACTAACTAACCTCGTATTGAAAATACTAATAATCTCTAATAAATTTTCTTTTACCAAGTGATTTAGCCAAAACTATCTCTTTGAGTTAAACCTAACTTTTGTACTAAATAAAATAAGATTTTAAATAAATCAGTAAAGTTGCATTATAATATGTGTAAATTTCTAGTAGTATCCAAAAATTCTTAGAAGCTCGGAAGCGTAAAAGTATGTGATTTTCAGTTTATACTAGAATTAAATACCAACGTGGAACCAATCTGGTACTTGTTACTTATTACTAGTTGATTAAAACAATTACAGATTTTAAAACCTGATTAACAAGATTAGCTTAATCATAATTTAGGTGGCCATTCTAAAAAGGAATTCTAATCAAATATGCAATACAAAACTGAAACCAGTAGATAGAAACACAAATTAGTAACCAAATCTAATGACTAATCACATACAACTTGTTTGCATAACTCAAAACTACGTTTTTTAGGCAAACATGGCTAAAAACGAATGAAAGATACAAAAATAAAGACTACAAAGTAAATAAGCATAAAAAACTAACTAGTCAAAAGTAATATTCAGGACTTCATAAACCCCTAGAAAAACATAAGAAATGGCCAGGAATCCGTCTACAAACATGTGTAGAACAGGTCTAGAAAAATTTGGGATTTCAAGTTGTATTTATAGGGCAGTT